GGCAGAGCACACGCCTGTCCCCTGGCCCCGGGACAATGCAGCTCCTGCTGGGACCCGGCACACAGTGTGCGTGTGTTTGGTCTTTGTTAGATCCCCTTCGGGAAAGTCTGGAGGAGAAGATGCATCTTCTTGGAGGTCAAGTTCGTCCTGCCTTTGTCTCTTTGTTGCTGGTGTTTATTCTTTGAGTCTTTAAGGGCGATATCTAAGGAAGGGTTTGGGGTAACTTTTTGTGTGAGGAGGTTTCACCAGCTCTCACCAGTCTTAAGTCACAAAGGTAAAGTTTTGTGAAGTTCAGTGAAAGTGACAATTTCTCACGTAGGGGCTGTTCCTTTTAATATTTTAAAATATTTCTGCATGGAGTTTGTTTTCCTGTTGCGTTTACCTATGTTTATGAAACCACAGGCATAAGAATTTTATGAATGAAATCAACACTGAAAAGTTTGCACGTGTAACTTTCACTTACAATCTCTTGTTTCTGTTTCATTTTAGTTTTTCTGGCTCTCCCTCAACCTATGGCTCTTCTGGAAAACCTTCCTGCTCTATTATCAAGGGCTGGAGTATTATTATTTGCATCAGATGTTAGGGGTGAGTGACCCGGACATTACTTTTTGGCCTGGAAATTGGGATGCTGGGAGATGGGAAAGGGGCAGAAGGTATTTCCTAATCAAGGATAACACAAACTGCCTGTTAATGCTGCAAAGTGGGGAAAGATGAAGTAGGAAATTATTGGAGTGCTGTTGACAGATGGTTAGGAGTAGAAAGTGAACAGTGTTGAGAAGAAAAAGAGCCAGTCAAGTGTGGGACAGCTATCGTTCCCCCTCCTCTCCTTCCTCCCAGTGTCCCCAGCTGCAGACAGGCTCACAGGAACACAGACATGCTCAACAGATGACTGGAGCTCAACTTTTTGTCATCAAAACATTAGCCAAGCTTAGAGGCTCATGCTGGCAAATTCTGTCTAATCCCATTATTGTGATACCTATGTGCTGAAGGAATTGTTTTGATAAGACTTAGTTCTTTTTGTTCTTTGTCACCCTCATAGATCCTCTGTTCTGTGTAGATCATTGCAATCTCTATAATTTTAGTTTTTATTTTCTAATAAGAAATTCTTGGAATCTGAATGGTTTAATGAAGATTTGCCTATTTTGATTTAGCAAGGGTAAATTCACATCCACCACCACCAGAAGAACCCAAAAGGATAATTTGGGGAAGTGAGATACTGATCTGCGTTGTGAAGTTATCCACAGCTACACCATTGCAGTTGTTTGAAATGACTGCTAACCAAAGTGACAGATTAAAGGTTAACAACTTTCTGGAAAATGCTCTAGGGTTGCTCAGAATTTGAGAATCCAGAAAAAAGTGGATGAAAGACATGATACTTTGTAACGTGATATCATACTTGGGAATGGATTTCAGTGGAAAGTTGATGTGGGCTTTCAATGGAGAGTCACAGATGAGGTGTGTCATAACATGTTGTAGAGTCTCTTGGTCTTATCTTTGATAGATCCAGGATTTATTTTTTCATATAGTTGATGTCATTGACATAGCTAGCCAGTTCCATAAGCTTCTGTGAACTTGCTTGAAAGTAAGTTGACCTGTTAGACTTTTTTTTCTCTTTCTCTGTCTCTTTTTTTTCTTTTTCTTTTTTTTTTTTTTTTCTTACAGCTGACTTAGATGTGTTCAAGAAATGAATCTCAGCAAAGGTAGTGCAAAAATAGTGGAATAAAAATGCTTAAATCCTTCATGATGATGACTTTCTTCATGATGATAACTGTCTTGACAGAAAAAGCGTGAAAACCTGTTTAATTTTAACATAATCTCTCATGGCATTGCAGCCCAGTGCATCCATTTAAAAATTGTGTTTGTTCCTGGCAGACCAAGTGGGCTGTTTATAAAGCAAATGTTCTTGGGTCAAGATGTTGGGCCAGATGGTCAGCTGGTATCAATCAGCAAAGTTCCTCTCAATTCAGAAGACTCATCTGCCTTGTACCAGCTCATCGTCTGGTCTTTCTTTGGTTTTCTTGTACTTCAAAATTAGACACATACAAAGTAATATAATGTGTGTTCAGAACATCTGAGATGATTCAAGCAACAGATTCTTTGTCTTGGTCAGGAGTGAGGACCAGGAGGCCATGCATTTGAATTTAACTGTGTCTGCAACTGTGGGAAAAAATACCAAAGGAATTTAGAGATTTTTCTAAAATGAGGAGGAAAGTGAAGAACTAAGTCTAAAAGATACTTTTGGTCAAAGCTCTGAAACTAACTTGAAAATTTTGAAAACATTAAAGACTGTAAAACATTCTTGCAATTCACTTTTCACAGTTTGTGTAAATATCATCCTCAAACACTAATGTTAACTTTCTCTGATCTCTTCAATATATTTGTGTATGTGTATAAATCATACAGATTATTTTTCAAGAGGTGGGAAAACTGAACCCAGTTTTAGTCTCTTCAGGAAACAGAGAGTAAGCACATCCATGTGAGAGCTGCTGTTACCTTCCGTGGGGATTTTTGCTGCTCTTCTTTTTCTACATTGTTTTGTGTAGCCACTGGCTGCCTCATGGCCCATGCCCATTATCAGTCTCCTCTCTGTTCCATACATGGGTGAGTGGCTTGCAGGGCCTCTGTGTGCCATTTCTTGATATTTGAAAATTTTGAGCTTTAGATGAAAATTCTTCATTTATAATTCAACAGTTGGTTTTTAATTCTGTCTTAACAGAATGAACTCTTTTACAGCTACTTTCATGAAAATTGTTTCATTTTTCCTGACAGTTAACAAAAAATGTCAAAAAGGAATGGCATTTTTTGAATAATAAAAAAAAAAGTTCTCTTGTTTTTCAGTGAGATCTGCTAAGGAATTGTTTTCTCTCTTTATGTCCTATGATAGCCTAAAATCCTAAGAACATCTGCAGCACTGAAGGATTTACCACAGGTAATTTTTTTGTTTACCAAGTAACAGAATGGAGAGCAAGAAGAGTTGCTGCAGGAAATCAGATTGTGATATGAAATGAAATAGTGGACTGATTATCCTGAATATATTCAATTCTGCCATGTTTTCATGCCATGTCTTTTCTTTCTGATGTGAAGCAGGAGAAAGAATGAGGTTAGTCTTTCCTTCAGTGGTCCCTGTAGTGTTTCACTTTCCTTCAGCCTACAGAAGAAGGAGGCTCAGTTTTATTCTTTGCCAATTGCATCCTCTGCAAGCTCAAACAAGGTACTTAGCACAGGAGTTTAAAATTATTTAGGTTTCTAACTCTCCCTCAGTCTTTCAATGACAATCTTTCTGATCCTTAATTCTATACCTTTAAAAAGACACTAAGAGCTCGATGGTGTCCTGAAGGTGCGAAGAGATTAAATGCATCAAGGCACATATGTACTAGGAGAAGGTTAATCAACCTATTCTATGCTACAAAACTTAGTGGGTAAATTTATGTTGTGTCAAATGTCACTGCTTTGCTGTTTAAGTTGTGTTGATGAGACCATGAACTCTTCACTGTGGAATCTCCATCTCTGGTGGCTTTCAAAAACTAATTGGGCAAAACCCTGAGCAAACTTAGTCTGAGTTTGATGTTGAACCTGCTCAGAGCAGGAGGTTGGAATAGAGACATCTTGAGGTCCCTTCCAACCAGAATAATTCAGTGGTTGTATGGTTCTTGCAGTGTAAATTCAACCAGAACCTAGTGGATGTAAACCCATTCCCAGTACTTTTGCCTTGATGAACCATCCCTTTGGATACTTAATTGCTTGTAACACTGCAGATCATAGTGTTACTGCATGAATGCATTCATTGCTGCTGGTTCAGGAACATGATTCAAATCAATAATCTCAGTTTTTTGTAATTTAATAAATGCTAACTTGTGGCCTTACATTGCTTAAAGAAGGGAAGCCTGGGAAACATCCAACAAATGTGGATTTCTTATAAAAATGAGTGTGGCAAAGAGGAAAAGAATATTCTCATCTTCATGTTCATAATAGATAATACAAGATGTAGTAGGCATGAATTACAGAAAGGAAGATTCATAAATTACTTGACATGACTCCAAAATCTTCGTTGTTGGAGGTTTTGTGTCTCCTCAGCCAGGGAAATTGTCCAGATGATTAATTTCTTTGCAGTCTTCATGATTTCTCCCTTCAGATTAGTTTGTCTGTGTTTTTTTCCAATTAGTTTGCTTGCATCTGACCAACAAATTCAGTCCTAAATTCAGTACTGACCTTATTATAGAACTCAAATCTTGCTTTTAACAGCATTAAATGGAATACCTGTTTCTTGTTGTTTGAGTTCCCCATGAACAGAAAGAGCATTGGGCTCATTTTGTCATGGCATAAAAGGTCTCTCTTTCCTTATTCCCTCTCTAGTCCCTGCTCAAATAACTTTAATGTAGTCAAATGGATGTTAATGCAAGAGATAAGCTTCTGGGTTTCACACCAAAGTGGAGAAAATGCATTCTCAGAAGAGTCTCTTTTGGAAAAGATTGAATTACTGCAAATGGAACTGAAAAGGGAAAGCGCTGCCTCACCTTTTAATCTATACAGTTGCTGCCTTCTTACTGTGCAGTACTGTGAATCACTTTTATGTCATCTTTATTCACTGCTTGGAATATGTATTCCAGATGTTCCAGTAACTTACATTTCTCTTCTTGCTAGTTTATCATAATGATAGAGATTTTAGTAATTGAAGCCAAATTCTGCTCTCATTGATCCTTATGTAACTGCATTGCAGCCTGCTTCCCCCACACATCTAAGCATTGAAGGGAGCTATGTATTTTGACCCTTTATTTTCCTTAATACAGTATATTTTTGCTATTTAATTGTCTTACAACCAAGCTATTTGGGATTTGCTCTTTAGGGTGTTATATGCAGCAAAAATATCTAATAATACATTTATGTTGCTGTAGAAAAGATATGTATATATATAAAAATGTATATAAATATATATATATGTGTGTGTGTGTGTATATATATATATATGCAGGATTCCCAAATGAAGACTGAGAGTGTTAATCCACAAGACTTTATCTTGTTGTCATGATTGCACCTTGTTTGAAGATGATCATGGCATAATACTGAGGAGAACAGAACTGAATTATGGCCAAAATGTTCTATAATTGATTATTCGTTCGTTATCTTATGTATTATTGCAGGGTTCCTATAGTAGTCCAACAGTGGCAGATCTTAAAATAAAAACAGCTGCATTACACTCCAGAAGATTGGTTTTACAGACCATATCACCTACTGTGTTGTGATAAGGGGAAACAATTCAACATGAAGGAAACCCTTAGTAGCAGACATTGCATCACCTCAGTGTGACTGCGACTCAAATATGGCAATGAGCAACTTCCTGCTTTGGCCATGAGTTGCAGTGTGTTGTGAATCTCTTGGGGTAACTTGAGTATCCTTAATCCCTTGATTCATGAGCAGCCTTGTGGAGTTTAGATTGTGATGCATTTTGTAGGATCAACTATTTGAGCTCTTGTTGCTAATTAATATGTAAAATGCTGTCATGCTTTGATGTTGCTACAGAAAAAACATGAGTCTGGAACACTCTAATCTGGAAGATAACTTGAGATCTCATCCAATCTGTGTATGTG